AATCCAGCTGTACCCGTCTAAAAACTCTGAAAATCAGTAGTATACCAAAAAATCTCGGACTGAGAAAAAGTTGCAAGTCGTCAAACCATTTAGGGTTATTCCATTAGTTTCTTTCATTATTATTTCTACTGATAAGTTACATATTCAAAAAAGCCAAAACAGTCGCTTTACCCTAATCAGTTAAATAGAAAGTTGCAAATTTAAAATCAAAAAAGAAAAAATTTCTCATGACAAAGATCCAACGTTCGATAAGGACCTTAAATAAGCTACATCGCAATTATTTATTAAAATCAAAACCGATTCTTTTTTCAAGTATTCAAAAGCATAGTGAGAATTACTCTAGGTAAAGACGTAAATCAAGAACGTTAATCTCAGCTACGAACACTTCATTAGATGACTATTAATGAGGTTGTCTAGAGATCTCACATTAACGATAATCATAGATTTCATGATTTACAAAAAAAAATAATTAAAAATGTTGAAGAACGACGAGCTCCAAATTCTATTGCATAAACAAGCTGAAGGAAAAACAATAAATTTCAACCCCTGTCTCTACTTCGCATGCACCAAAAATGATTGGTGATCTCTTCACGAGGAATTTTTTGAAGAAGTATATTGGTTTTGGTAGCCTCTTTTAGATTTGAAAACTTTTTTATTCCTGGATGTTCTATGTTAAAAATTGAACTAAAAACTTAAATAAAAAATAATTCTTTTTATTTTGTTGAAGAAAAAGATCGACAGTAAGATAGCTATTTGAACAAATATAAGCGCCACCGCATATTTTCTCTTCCGTTCATTTCCTGTCATTGCGTCCCCATTTCAGTTGTTGCAGCAGCTTCTGCTTAGAATATTCTAGATTTTAGGAAAAAGTACATCCGAAGTACCAGCAAAGCTCGTAGATCTTTCCAATTTTTGGGGGGCTTCCGACGAGCTCAATGTAATTGAAAAATAGGAAAATCAACCTCAATAAGAGAAAAATCTCAAAAAAATGAAGAGTGATTAATAAACCGAAGGAGGGACGGGCAAAACTGACTAGAAAACAGTACCTATCGCTAACAATTTTAGTACATATTTCGGCGATAAAGCTGATTCAAATAGCGGCGCACACTCATGTAGCCGAGCTTCCACTGATGTGACATAAAATCGGGGAGTAGAAACCTTTTCTTCTGATTGATTTGTCTTCCAAATCTGAAGAAATCGTTTTTTTTTATTGTGCAAAAAAACTGGAGCATCTTCTACACTGAAATCACCTTTAACACTAAATGTTTATCAATTTCTTTTTCCGACCTTGCAATTGAGCTATTACCCGGCAGCAACCATTATGATTGATCGGTTTCTCATCTTTGTGTAGTACAATAATTTATCATTTCATAAATCAATATAACAATATCCCTGATATAATATATAAATTGTATTTAAAAACGCAATATTTGAAAAATTTGTTTGCCCCTATTCAGGTTTGAATGAGTTTTTTGCGAGTAACTCACTGCTTTAGCACCACGAATATGCTCATCTCTTGAAAACAAGCGTGAATAATTGGACCAAACGGCATTTTAAAAAAAGACATATTTTTTTGATTGATTTGATCAATATTCACTATCGTCTTTTTGGCACAAAAACTAACCCAATTTAATAGCTTGAATCACTAGTATGTATTTATTCCGCTGAAAATTCTATAAAAATAAGACCTGCGAACAAGAACAGTAAGACAATCACGCTTTTTCCCCACACAATTTGCTACGTATGGGCTTCGAACCTACGGCCTCGAGAATTGAGTCTGACACCCTGCCCTTTCGGCCATGAACGCTTAACAACGGGCAAACACTAGTCACAAATAAAGCAGCTACATATGCTAATAAACTGCCAATGCTATGCACCAAACTGGCACCAAATGAAAATAGACACAAATTTGCAAGTAAAAATTTGGAAAATAAACTGACAAGGCATCCACACTAATTTTGCATGTAACAATTAGGAACGCCTAAAGTCACATTGTATAAATTATGAATTAAAAAAATTGTGAGATATGTTGAGTTAGAAAACATCTGAAATCGAATTTTGATTATTGTTGTTTGAAACAAACAAACTTTTTCGTAATATTTTCCGTCCACCCCATATCCATGCCTCGGAGCATGGATATGGGGTGGACCGCTGGAAGGATCGATAGATAAATGGAAGGCGGGATAAGTGAACAAATGAATGGCTAGATGACTGGTTGGATGGATGGCTGGTTCGAGTAATGGAAGTTGTTTGGATGGCTGGATATTTAGACGGTTAGCTGGGTAGATGAAAAGATGGATGGCTTCATCTTTGGAGGGATGGATGGTTGATTGTATAAAAAGTGGAAGGATGTATGAATGGCTGGATGAGTGCAAGGCTGAATTGATTGATAGCTAGATGGATGGACGACTGGTTCGTTATCTGAGTGGATGAATTGCTTGATGCATGGATAGCTGGTTGTAACACGGCATGGAGAGCTGATTGGAAGAAAAGATTGCCGGATGGCAGGATAGATGGATCGCTGGTTCGTTGAATGGATGTTTAAACGGTCGGTTGGATAAATTATTACAAGGATGACATGACGGATGGATGGGTGGCTCAATGGTTTATTGGTTAATGGATGACCAGCTACATGGTTGGATGGATGGCTAGACAGAATGATGGCTTGATACATGAAGGTATGGAAGCATCAATGCCTGGATAGATCGATGGCTGAATAGCAGTTAAAGGAAATTAACCTTATTTGGCTCAGTTGAAAAAATTTTTGAGACGCCATTTGTGCAAGACAGCGAAGGGAAATTGGAGGTTGAAGTGAGTTTAGAATTGAGCTGAAGATATTTTGTGAGAAGGGGAAAAAACTGAAATTATTCACTTTATGATGGCCGCTTTTGACTAGGAGCCAATTCTTGCAGTAATTCGCTGGTTAATTTTGTCACATCATATGCGACAAGGCAATTTTAATCTAGTTGTCGTTATTTCGTCAATTTTGTCCATGCGGCAATTTTGTCTGGAATTTCCTCATTTTATATGTTATATCGGGGAGTGTGTTACAATCTTTTTTATCTGATTGATTTGTTTTCCAAATCGTGAAAAAATCAGTTTTTTTGTATTGTATTGTGTTTGTATTTTTTGTATTATATTATCAGTTCATAAATCAATATAACAATATCCCTGATGTAATAAAATGTATTTAATAACGCAATATTTGATATATTAGTTTGCCTCTATTCAAGTTGTAATGAACTTTTTTCGAGTAACTTACGGCTTCAGCACCACCCATATGCTCATCTCTTGAAAACAAGTGCAAGTCAAACCAGCGAAAAATCAAATTTGAGCACGAACAATCTCAAAAACACAGTCAAAGCAGAGCTTCGCACCCTTTGCGATGCAACACGATCATAAACAGCATAGGTCGAAAAAACGATAAATGTTTAAAAAAAAACTAGGTGAACATCAACTATGTCTTGATGAAGCACACGTAGGGCCAAGCTAATGCTAGACTGTTTTATATTTTTAGAATTTGTTATACTGATGCGAAGCAAAATGGGTAATTTCAAAAATTAGACTTCGCCCAAAACCGTAGTTGTTTCTTTACTAAAATCAATTGAGAAGACTGAATCGAGATGTTCGAGAAAAAGGAACCTTCCCTGAGATATCATACAACAAATAGAAGACTCGATGTCCTTTCGATTGAACCCTTCATCCCGGATTTCATGGATAAGTTTCTAAAAAAAGTCAAAAAGCATCCAAATAACGGTCAAACATTCAAAAAGTTGACTTTTCGAAATTCATAACAATTTTGTGCAAAAAAGACTTGGCCGCTCAAGCAGCTAATAAATCCAAAAACGGTTTTCTCGAATTAACACGGTGGAAGTTTTCAAGAAAATCGAAAAGTTTCAAAAAACGATACAAAAAAGTATTAAGTTTTTCGAAGGCCAAATTTTTCGGTATGAAAAATTAATAGGAAAAATTACTTACACAATAGGAAAAATACTTTTGGAGTAACTTACGGCTTCAGCACCACCCATATGCTCATCTCTTGAAAACAAGTGCAAGTCAAACCAGCGAAAAATCAAATTTGAGCACGAACAATCTCAAAAACACAGGCAAAGCAGAGCTTCGCACCCTTTGCGATGCAACACGATCATAAACAGCATAGGTCGAAAAAACGATAAATATTAAAAAAAAAACTAGGTGAAGCTAATGCTAGACTGTTTTATATTTTTAGAATTTGTTATACTGATGCGAAGCAAAATGGGTAATTTCAAAAATTAGACTTCGCCCAAAACCGTAGTTGTTTCTTTACTAAAATCAATTGAGAAGACTGAATCGAGATGTTCGAGAAAAAGGAACCTTCCCTGAGATATCATACAACAAATAGAAGACTCGATGTCCTTTCGATTGAACCCTTCATCCCGGATTTCATGGATAAGTTTCTAAAAAAAGTCAAAAAGCATCCAAATAACGGTCAAACATTCAAAAAGTTGACTTTTCGAAATTCATAACAATTTTGTGCAAAAAAGACTTGGCCGCTCAAGCAGCTAATAAATCTAAAAACGGTTTTCTCGAATGAACACGGTGGAAGTTTTCAAGAAAATCGAAAAGTTTCAAAAAACGATACAAAAAAGTATTAAGTTTTTCGAAGGCCAAATTTTTCGGTATGAAAAATTAATAGGAAAAATTACTTACACAGAAGAAATTCGCACAACTTGTTGTTTCAATTAAAAGCAAGAACTCAAGATATGGGAGAGTAGTTTTCGAGAAGTCATATAGGTTAAAAAAAAGAGTACAAAAACCAAATTTTAACTTTTTCGATGTCCATAACTTTTTTGTTGAGAAAATTTTGGGCAAGCTCGATTAATCAGAGGGCAGCTTTCAGAAAATTTTCACAAACAGTTCTAAACATAGAACCCAAATTCTCATACTTGGTAGAGTAGTTTTGGAGTAAAAGAGAAAACATTCAAAAATTTGGGTCAAATATTCCCCCCAAAGACTTTTTTCGAAGCCTCAAGAGAGTATGGTGACGTAAAAAGAGATAAGAAGATTATAGAGGCACAGAGATACAGTATTTCAGAGAAACTGTGGGACTTAAAACTTTTTAAAGAGTAAAATTAACCTTTTGTAATCCAAATCCTAGATATGATCAGCTAGCGTAAATAATCGCTCGTTGTTACCTAGGTTTCAGCTAACATTGCTATTTACTTGATGACGCCCCTCAGAAAAAGAACAAGAGCTCAGGATAAACAAGAGTTGAAGATGCAATATTCTTTGAACCATGAATAATCGATTTTTACATTTTCAGCTAAATTCAAGAATTTTCGTTATGTTGATGTTCGGCACGATTGTCATGGTTTCAAAAAAGCATCAAAAGATATCTAAATCTATCATGGAATGATTTTGAACGATGAGAATAAATATATCTAAAATCTGAACCTCCCAAATCAAATAGCACAACTCAAAGACGCCAAAACTCACTTCAAAAATATCTCCAAAGCTTCGTACGGCAACGAGTAGGATCTATCAAAGCATCTATAAAACAGATTCGAGATGAGTAATGCATGTTCTTCAATTTGCAAAATTATACAATGATAACTGAATAGTATAACAAATGGCAGCTTTTCAAGTTTCCCTTTCCATGCCGACAAAATACTGTCATAAAACTTTACTGAAAAGTAAGTAAATTTCGCAAATTGCCACATTGATCTTTTTATTTCTATCTTTCTATTTTAATTCTTTTAGAGCATCTCTGATTTTATTTTAAATCTAATTTTGCGTCTGATTTTTTTTTGATGAGAGGGGACACTACTGAAGAGCCCAAGTAGCAAATCAGGAGGCAGTTCATTCGACTCAACTATCTACTAGACAGTGTTGTGAATTCTTTCAATTAGACAAATGGTTCATTTATACGAATGGTCCAATTAGAAGAATGTAGGGGTCAGGGGCGTCGTTTTGGAGGGCAGGGCGGCGCAGCGGGAGGCAAGAGTGGTGTATGGTTCATCATTTAGGAAGCACACCAGTTGCACTGTCATGTTGTCACAGCCGAGGCCGCCCATGAACCGGTCTGGGGCAAGACACTGGTCCATTAACTCTTCGCATATCTGCAAAAAGGAAACATGTTTTTTTCCATAATCTGTAGAGGTGAGGCTGAAAAAAACGCTTATTGAGAATAATAGTGCTCATATCGAGCCAAGCACTGAAACCTTTTTAATTTTTATCTCAGATGCTTTTGGTAAAAAAAACCCTGAGATAATATATAACTAGCCTGTAACGCACCTCCGGTGCTTCGAATTTTCAACAACTCAAAAAACTATTCTTTGAGTGTACTCTGACAGCACCCAATTACAGGGTTCGTAATTACAAATTTTGCAAAGTTTATTATTAGAGTTTTTTATACAAATTTTGAAGAACCAAAAAATTTTGTGAAGTTTTCTATAAGTTCTTCGAAAAATTTAAAATGAACTAAGAAACGTCACATCTGGTAAACCGAAAGCAATTGAGCAGTCGCATTTGGACGCAACATTTGCAACTCCTGAGAGTACTCTTACAGTACCCAGCGTTGTAGAAACTTCACCTTAAGTTTTCTACAAAAAAGATATTCACATCTCGAAAACTACCAAAATTTGAGCAGTCTTTTTTGATGGCAATATTCGCAATCTTTAAAAGTACCTAACTACAGGGTTGGGATTTTCACTTTAACGAATTATTTTGTAATTTGAGTTTTCTGAAAAATTCCAAAAAAAATCACAAAAATCGTTGTATCTTAAACAAAAATGATTTGGGCATTCTTAAATGGAGGCCAAATTTGCAACCCCTGAGATTACTCTGACAGCCCCACAACTACAGGTTAGGAAATTCAAACTTCGAAAAAAAATTAATTAAATTTTCATGATTTTTTTTTTGAAAAAATCACAAAAACGTCAAATCTGGAAAACTAAAAGGATTTGAGCAGTCAAATTGTGAGGCAAAACTCGTAGTTCCTGAGAGTACCCTAAAAGAGCCTCACTACAAAGATGAAATTTCAAGTTCTGTGAAATTTTTTATACTTGAGTTTTCTGAAAAATTTTGAAAAAAAACCTAAAAAAAGGCCATATCTCGGAAACTACAAAAATTAGAGCAGCCATAATCTGAGGCAAGCTTCGCAACCCCCTGAGAGTACCTTCAAAGATTCCAATAACAGGATTGAAATCTTCAAACTTTCGGAAATTTTTAACATTTAAGTTTTCTGTGAAAATTTCGGAGAAAATCATAAAAGACGTCATATTTCGAAAACTACAAGGATTTGAGAAGTCATATTTGGCGCCAAAATTCGCAATTCCTGAGGGTACCCGGAAAGAGTCTCACTACAGAGATGGTAACTTCAAGTTTTGTGAAAGTTTTTATACTTAAGTTTTCCGAAATTTTTTTTAAACAATCCAAAAATCGACGTATCTCGAAAACTACAAAGATTTGAGCAACCATATTCAGAGGCAAGCTTTGCAACCCCCTGAGAGTACCCTCAAAGATTCCAATATTAAGATTGAGATCTTCAAACTTTTGGAATTTTTTAATATTTCACATTTTGAGAAAACTTCGGAGAAAATCATAAAAAATGTCATATCTCGAAAACTACAAGGATTTTTGAGCAGCCATATTCAGTGGCAAGATTCGCAACTCCCTGACAGTACCCTCACAGATTCCAATAACAGGATTGAAATCTTCAACATTTTGGAATTTTTTTACATCTAAGTTTTTTTGAAGATTTCGGAGAAAATCCTAAAAAACGTCATATCTCGAAAACTACAACGATTTGAGCAGATATAATGTGAGGCAAGATTTGCAACCCCTAATAGTACACTCACAATATCCACAACAGGAATGAGATCTTCAACGTTTTGGAAATTTTTAACGTCTAAGTTATTGAAATCATAGAAAACGTCATATCTCGAAAACTACAACGATTTGAGAAGTGAGATTTCGAGGCAAGATTCGCAACCCCTGAGATTACCCTGACAGCACCCAACTACAGGGTGAGAATTTCAAAAATTAAGAATAGTTTCTAAATTATATTTTTTAGAAATTTTTGAAAATATCGAACATTGCCTATCTCCTAAACTAAAAGGATTTGGGTATTCATAGAGGGAGGCCATAATCGCAAAACCTGGGAAAACTCTGACAAAATCCTAGTATTGGGTTGCTATTTTCAAATTTGATTAAATAAACATTGAATTTAAACTGGAAAATCGAAAAAACCTTAAACACTGCAATATACGATATATCTTCAACGTGAAAAAACTCTTTTGTTAAACATGCAAAAATAATACGTAGAAAAAGCTTCAACATGGCGAGATAGTGAAGCCCGCATTTAAATACATAATAGATAGATATGTATTTAATAACGCAAAATTTATACATTAGTTTGCCTCTATTAAAGATGGAATGAGTTTTTTGCGAGTAATTCGGGGCTTTAGCACCACGCATAAACTCATCTCTTGAAACCAAGCGTGAATAATGGACCGGAACCAACATTTTTTAAAGAAAAAATAATGACATAATTTTTGATTGTCAGGTCAATATTTATTATGTTTTTCTTGGAAAAAATCTAACCCAATTTAAAAACTTGAATCACTAGGTATGTTATCATTCCGCTGGAAATTCTAACAAAAATAAGGCCTGGGAACAACTAGTAAGACAATCCCGTTTTTTTTTCCACGTAATTTGCTATGTATGGGCTTCGAACCTGCGGCCTCGAGAATTGAGTATCACACCCTGCCCTCTCGGCTACGAACGCTTAACAACCGGCAAACACGAGTCAAAAATAAAGCAGCGACATACGCAAACAAGTTGCTAATGCTATGCAGCAAAACTGGAACCAAATAGAAACAAATAATTGTTTTGAATGTAATAAACTGGAGGCAACTACACTATGTTTAAATTATGCATTTCAAAAACTGCGAGCTATAATGAGTTAGAAAAAACTCTGAAATCCAGTTTTTATTATGATGTTGCTTGAGACAAATATCTTTTTTCAGTTGATTAAAATGCATCAACTGTGTTAACTTAATTCTATTCGAATGTCAAAGCACATGCTATCAAAAAACCGTGAACGTGCCCAAAAAAAAGGCACCAATATTTGCATTTGCGACTTACGGTAGAAAAAAATAGAAAAAACGTAGTTTAAAACTAACGCTCACTTAAATTGAAGGCAGGATGTATTATAGCTTGATAGACGCATAGATTGCTGTCTAGATGTATGGCTAGAAGGCTGGTTGGATGGATGGTTGAAGGTATGGAGGACTTGAATGATGGCTGCATTGAAGGAGGACTGGCTGGATGTATGGATGTCATGATGAATGACGGGTTGGATTGATGAAAGTATGTATGGATGGGCAATATGGTGGGTTGACAGGTTGGTTGAATGGCATGATAGATTGACGGCTGGATAGATAGCTGGCTTTATGATGGTGGCAGGAATGAGAGACGGCTGAACAGATGGAGGGCTTGTTAGATGGAGACATGGCTAGTTGGATGGATTGCTAGATCGATGATGGATGGATGGATTCATGGATGGCTAGATGGATGCATGGCTAGATGCTGGACGTATGATCTAGAGGGATGGATTTTCGGATGATTGATGGCTGGCTGAGATGGGTGCATCTTTGGATGAATGGATAGACGGCAGCCTGGGTGGTTGACTGAATGGATGGAAAGAGGCAAGATGGAAGGCTGAATGTCTTGATCCATGACTGGCTACATAGATTAATAGCTTCATGGATGGATGGTTGCTTAAATGGACGAATGGCAAGATAGATAGATTGAATGGACCAGACGATGGCTAAATGAATGATGACTTGATGGATGGGCGGTTGAGTTGAAGCCTAGGAGCATGGATATGGGGTGAACAGCTGGAGGGATCGATAGATAAATTGATGGCGATGGCGAGATAAGTCAACGAATGACTGGTAGATGACTGGTTGGATGGATGGCTGGTTCGAGTAATGGAAGTTCAGTTTGGATGGCTGGATATAAAGACGGTTGGCTGGATAGATGAAAGGTATAAAAGGCTTGATCTTTGGAGGGATGGATGAATGATTGTACAAAGTGGGTGGATGTATGAATGGCGGGATGAATGGAAAGCTGAATCGATTGAAGGCTAGATGGATGGACGACCGGTTCGTTATCTGAAAGGACAAATTGCTTGATGGATGTATGACGGTATGGAGAGCTGATTGGATGAAACGATTGCTGGATGGCATGATAGATGGATGGCTGGTTCGTTGATTGGATGTTTGATTGGATGAATTAATACAATGAATGGCCAGCTAGATGGATGTATGGCTAGATAATGATGGCTGGATGCATGAAAGGCTAGAAGTATCAAGGCCTGGATAGATCGATGGCTGGATCGTTTAATGCATGAAGGGATGAATGAAAGGATACATGGCTGGTTCTACGGACGGATGGTTAGATGGATCGCTTGTTCAATGAATGGCTTGATGAATGGATGAATCGATTGATGAACGAATTGCTTTGATGGAAGGATGGCTGGCTGAACGGATAGTTTTTTTGATGGCTGGATGAAGGGCTAGATGGATGGCTAAATGAATGGCCGGATTTATGAATAGTTGACTGCTTGGAAGGATAGTTGGGAACGCTGATTGGATCGATGGCTTGATGAATGGATGGCTATATCGATGAATGGCTTGTTGGATGGATGGTTGAATTGATGAATGGATGGCTATATCGATGAATGGCTAGTTGGATGGATGGATGGTTGGATTGATGAATGGATGGCTTGGTTGATGGATGGTTGGAATGATGAAAAAATGAACCGCTAGAAGGAAGGAAAGGGATGTAAGGATTGTTTGTAAGGATCGATAAATGGATGGCTGAATGGATCGATGAATGGCTGGTTCGATCTGAAATGACTGAAACAATCAAATGTATGAGGCCATATCTGCAACTGCTGAGAATACCCTGACATCACCCCGACAAAAGGCCGAAAAACTCAAATTTAATTTTCGGAAGTTTTTTGAAAACATAAAGCGCCAAATCTTGAAAAACAAAAGCCGTTGAGCAGTCATTTGTCGGCCAGATATAAACCTGAGATTATCTTGACAACACCCCCACAATGGACTTTTGACAATTTCGAAAACGAAGTAAAATTTTTTATATCTAATTTTTTAAAAGTCGTAAGAAAAATGGCAACTCTTGGAAACTATAAAGTTTGGAGGCAAAATAGTTACTTGACATCACTTAACTTAGGGGTTAGAAAAGTAAAATTTTAGGAAAGTTATGAAACCTAAGTTTTGTAAAAACGTCATTTCTCGGAAATTTGAAAGACTTAGGTTTTCATATTTGGCTGCTGATTTTGCAACTCCTGGAACAACCCTAGCAGCACTCCAACTAAGGGTTGTTAATTTCAAATTTAGTGAAATAAGAAATACATTATAAAAAAAGGGTGAATCCCTCCTTTCCACTACACTACACTGCCCTGCTCATACCCCCATAAGTCTAACATTCAGGTCTTACATCATGGCCTAGTATTCATAGATTGAAAAAGTTCTAAAAATTTCAAGCATTGCAAAATATGATATAGCTTAAAATGCAAAAATTCTTTCGCTATATATTCAGGAACGTGTCACACACAATTTAAAATGGAATAAATATAGACAGCAGGAAAGTCTTAAAACTGGAATTCACTTTCAAAACTAGAAGTCGACCACGTTTTTCTGGACCTTTAATCTTTCGCTGTTCAAAAGAGGAGTTTGCCTTCTTTTCAGCAAGGAAATGAGCTCAACTTAAAAACTTTCAAACGTCAAAACGCAAAAAATGGAACTTGAGCGTGCATTAAACTTAAAACTTTTTCCTGAAAAAAAAACACAGCTAACATACAGCTGGAAAGAGTCAATGAGCATAACGAAACATACAAAAAAACTGACTTCAACTAAATATTTAAAAAATTAAAAAATATGGCTGTACACCTCTTGAATTTCATTCAATTTCTTTGACTTTCAATTAGAGCTCATTGACGTATTTTAATAAAATCACTTTAATTTCAAAAAACTGGATCAATAGGGATACTTTTTTTTTACTCCACTGGGAAATCTGATATTTAAATTCCACTTTCAAAAATAGAAGTCGATGACGTTTTTGTGACCATATCCAACATTTAGCAGATGAAATCGAATTGAACTCCAATAGTGCATAGGTACCTAGAAGCATAAATAAAAACATTAATATGTATGAATGGACTGCTTTAAAATATTATTGCATTTTATGACTTTTGATTAACATAAAACGAAAAAAAAAATCACAAGCACCTATATAAAATTCTTCACTACTATCTTTGACACTTCAAATGTGAACACAGGAGCTAATCTTAGCTTCGAGACACCTATGATACGTCACAAACACAGCGAGGCAAGTTGGTCTACATAAAGTTGCACGAAAACTCCTAAAGGGAAGCAACAGTTCCAGAATTATCAAAGACAAAAATCTACCGGAAAATTTCTCTGAAAGTGCCTAAAAAATCAAAATTTTGTTGAAATAAGGTCTACTACCTGGTTACAATTCCTTTGCTAATCGCAGAGTAAAAATGAGAAACCTTCCAGCTACTGAATATTTTTTGCAGATTACACTTATTAGTACGCGCCTTAGACAAAACAAAAAAGTTAACATTTAAAGCACGCTTTTCTCAAATTGGGTGAAAATTAGACAAAAAGAGAAAATAAATTCCTTAGAATTTATGCACAATTATTATGGTGCAAATTGATTTGCAAAAGCTGGTCGAACATTTAACCCCTAAAAACATTTATTTTTGTCAATAAAAAATTAAGTTTAAACAGTTTGTTTAATTGCTGAAATAAAAATATTAAAGTGAGCCTTCTACGTGGCCTAACAAAAACTTTTCAGGGCATAATCCCCTTAAAATTGCGCAAAACGTCCTGAATTTGTTTTTCATTCAAAAATTGGTACTTTATACAGTAAAATTGACAATAAATTTCAGTTGACAAAATGAGACGATTATACCTTTCTTGAATTTTATTTGGCTATTAAGAGAGGCTCACTTTGAAATATTATTGTCAGCATTTGAACAAAGTTATGGCTTAATTTTCGATCGACTAAAAAAAGCCGAAAACGGTCGTTTTTGGGGTTAAATTTTGGATCGGCAATTTGCAAATTGAACCGTATCAATTCTGCTGAAAATCGAAGCAATTTTGTGCTCTTCATTTTTTGTCTAATCATAATCCTATTTGAGAAAAACGCGTTTTAAATTTCAAGTTTTTGTTATGTACGGATAATTCAAATCAGCGCAGTATTCCAAACTGCTGTATTCTAGAATAATTAACAGCCGGATCAAAACCAAATTTTATCAAAAAAGAAAAACCAGCAGCAAACTATTTCATTAATATGTCAGAATTAGAAATCTTTCTGTTTTCAAGTTTAAGAAAAGATTATTAAAAAGATTAGGTTAGTGACCTGAGCCGGTTCCATCTGTTTGGCGATTCTCCTGCGACAGAAGTCGATTACCTCTGAGTTGGTAAGCACATCCCAGATACCATCACAGGCAATCACTAGGAACTCAATTTCTGGTGCCAATGCAGTCACTGATAATTCAGGGTAGGCTGAAACAAATTATTCATAAATCGAAAAAGGGTACAAGATAAAGGGATAAAAACCAGTTCGTGTGAAACAGATTCTTTTAAAAAATATATTAGAAATGGCTGTTCATCATGAAATTGTGATGTGAATTTCTACTTGAGTTTGGATTTAAAAACCATACGAAGAAAACAGAATCGTATTGGTATGTTACCAGTTACAATCTGGTCTTCTGGTCTGCGTGATTTGTTCCTCTTATAGTTGAAGTCCCCGAATGCTCGTGATAAGGCCAGGTTTCCGTTCACTCTGTTGAACTCAACCCACCCACCTCCAGCTAAAATACGCCTTTGCTCATCCGCATCATTTGGTTTATGGTCTCTGGATATAGGCACTGCGTGACCCGCATAGGATATAACTGCCCTGGAATCGCCCACATTTGCACAGTACATTTTACCAGACTTAATAAGGATGGCGATGGCGGTTGTTCCAGCTAGATCGTGCATGAGGTCTTCTGAGTTATGCATTTCGTCGTCTAGCTGCATAAACGACTGTCGAAGACTATCTTCAATGGCACCTTTTTCTACAACCAAAAAAAATTGAAACATTAAGTTCAAAATTACAAACTGCTATAATTATACAGTTACAATTTCACTGGCTTTCTTTTGAAAGGTGTGAAGCTTTTCGTATCTTTGAAAACTGCCGGTTCGAACACCGTCGTAGCAATTATCATGCGAAGTGAACCATTTCTATGGCAATTGATTTTAGGGGCCGTACAATTTTTTTTGGATGTATTTAGGGGTAGTAGCCTCTTCAAACTTTATATGTAACTTCAGCGCTCATCAAATATTCATCGTACTCTAACGTTTCTCTTTTTTCGACTTTTTCAGATCAGGTGTTTACTGTTATTTGACCTTCTCATAAATCAATTTCAATCAGAGCCTGGGTTAATTGGCCTTCTCGGAAATTTCCGTTAAATCGCCCATGATACACTGAGCCGATGAGATCGAATGTATCAGTTAGTTACGATAGCTACTGACGGTATTTGTGGTTGTTGATGAGTCTGAGGTGTAGGTTCCTGCTGGCATAGTCTGATATACGTCTGCCCCCGTGGCCATCAAACACCGCAAAGAAGTTCACGTTCTCGTCACCGCCCAGTCTCAGCTCCACCGTGTGGGCATCCTCCATTGCTACACAAACAACAACAAATAAAGGCTGTTGTGTTTTTCACCCAAAAAAAAATCAAAAAATACTAGTCAAAAATGACATAATTATCAGTAAAGAACAATCTTGACTAAAATCTGATATTATAGAATGTTACTTATTTTTCAAAAAAAAATTGTTGGGAACTCATTGGAAGGTTTTCGCCAAAAATTGTATATTTAAAGCGCGCATGTCCCATATAATTGATGAAAAAAGATTCTTTTTGATGAGCAACAACAAGAAAGCAGCATTTTTGTGCAAACAGACACAAATTTTGCAGGGAATCTGTGCATTGACATGTAAAGCTTGGCTTGTATTGAGAAAAACAGTTTTGTCATTAAAATACAAGCTTCGCTTCTATTATATTTTTTGCTTTTTCCCCACCAGCAAAATTTTACAAGTAAGAAATATTGTTTGCATGATTCGATTGTACTGAAAATTGATTTACGGTCTAATTAGGCCATGAAGAAACAGATTTGTTCTTCAAAACTATCCTTTCGTTAAACCACTCGTTACACCGTAAAATTAACGCTCATGGGAGGTGGGGGAAGGAAAAAGAGCCCTATTATAACCAGAAGCGAGTGGATCTTCGCGTCACTTCGCATTACAAGCTAGAGAGACAAAAACGAGACTGTATTAAAGACATGCAAAGAAAAAAAACTCAACGAATAGTTCCGACCCCTAACATGAATTGAAAAGACAGACTGAAAAAAAACGAAATTGTTTCCCTCATCGTTCCTAAGCCACGAACACAAGCAACAAAACTTTAAAAAAAAATCTTTAAGATGGAAAAACCAAAATTGAGTAAATAAACCTTGAATGACTAAACCTACCCAACAGAAGGTTGCCAAAAGGTAAAAGAACAAGGAACCGCTTAAACGGAGAAAAAACATCAGTTCAAGGCTCTTTGAAATTTAAAACTAACTATGGATTGCCTCATTTTTGATATAATTGACCCAATTGGAGAAAAGTGGATCACAGAGTAAAATTTTTATTTCGCTGGGAAATCTGAAAATTAAATTCCATTTTAGAAACTAGCAGTCGATCATCTTTGTTGAAACCTTTGCACTTGTCCTTTTGAGCTGAACTTAAAATGAAATCAAAATTCAAACCTCGAAAAAGTAAATTTAAGCCTGAACAAATTCTAAGACTTATGCTAAAAAAAATCGCAACCTATATAAGAGTCTGAACTAAGTTAATCGACGCTTAATAAACTACCTTCTTTATAAGACCTTTAATAAACGACCTTCTTAATAAACGACTTTCTTTAAACGACCTTCTTAATAAGCGACACCAACAAGAAAACATGCGCAGTCTACGAAAATAACTCATACGATAAATTTTTGGGTCAAACAACCGTACTGGAAAACAAAATAATGACCAACAAAGGCAAAAACATGTTTCCAAAATAGTGACCAACAAAAACAGAACATGTTGCCAAAAAAACTCAGTTGATGGAAAACTATTAAAAATATACCAAAAATGTGCAAAAACTCATGAAACCAATTACATCTAAAAGAAAAATATGACAAAATATGCCAGTCCAAAAGAAAGAAAGGCTTAGACCAAAATTGTTAAACCATCTTAAAATTTAAAAAAAATCTTACTTGAATTTTTTTTAGATTTCATGAAATTGTTCAATCACTCCCATATAACACGTACAAAAAATAATTGAAAAAAGCCAACCTTCTAGCGCGAAAATCTACCGAAACATTTTTGGCAATAAAAAAACTCACAAGAACTCTTTAAAGTGCACCAAAGGCACATATCACAAGCAACTACTAAATAAACTATGCTGTTACCTCAACAGCTGAGGGACAATTAAAGACGATAAAAAACATTAATAAAATGAGCGATGTGCTAAACACTGACTTTATCTTATATTTGTCATGTTTATATCTGTTGGGAAGATTAACGGTAAGAAAAATCCCAGATGTGAACATCTAAATAAACTAATTAAATTTCATCTCGCCTAGCGGGGAGAAAAAAAATCCTATTATCGTATTTGACTCTCATTTATCCAACTTCGGCTCTTAAATATTTTTTTTCTTCCTATAACTCTTATCTGGAGGTAAGCTCTTTTTCACCCCACCACTAACCTCCCGCCACCGCGGGATAATAGGCATCAAGTGTAATATCAACTTGGTGACAACTTTTTTACACATAGGCGATTCGGAGCATATATCGCAGATGGGGGAATTGACAAAGAGCCAGCCGATAAACCAGAAGTCGAAGAAATAATAATAAAAAAAAAACTTGCATTCGAGTAAGTGAAGTAATAAAAAACAGGACGACTGTCAATAATAGTACACAGAGGCGAAGCTGAGCTTCGCACCACTTGCGATCAAGGCTGTTCAAAAATTAATGGGGGAGGGGGGGAGATTAACGGCCATTAATGGATGGCCATTAATGGATTTTTTAATAGTAAAAATGGCATTAATGGATTTTTAATTCGAAAAATTAAAGGCCATTTCCGTTATTTCAGAGAAAAATGTTTTGTGCGGTGTAAAGTGGAAATCCAAACAAAGTGAGCAAACAAAGTGAGCAAACAAAGGAGCAAACAAAGTTGCAAATTTTTGGAGCCGACCTCGAATCGTATTGAAAGATTTTTCAGCGCAGCTGGGTATTCTCTGGGTGACCTGCGGCAATCAATAACCCCTTTACATCTCGAAGAACAGCTCTTTCTCAATGTGGAATATTGAAACCGTCAATGACGCTCTTCAAGAAGAAAACTGAGACACAATCGAACTGAACGCCATTAATGGTCAAAATGGCCATTAATGGATTTTTAGTTTTCTCCATTTCCGTTAATTGATTTTTCGCTGAAATTTAATTTTTCACTTCAAAATTAATTTTTGCGCAGCCTTGCTTGCGATACAACACAACCATAGAAAAAAAATATCTAATAAGTAGGAAAAATGAAAACTTTTGAAAAAAAAACTAGGTCATGTAAACTTTCATATGTCTCAATAGTTAATTCTAGGAAAACATGCCGGACACTTGAATTTTAAATCAGCAACAACGGAACAAAAATTACGAAAAGAAACAAAGCCGACAACCTTTGAGCAGACACTAGTTGAGCCTAAAAAAATGATTCTATAAAAAAAATTGAAGTCCTACCCTAAACAACAATGGACAACACTTGCACTTGCAACTAAAATGAAAGTTGTTTACAGCACAAGAAAAATGATATGGCATATAAGCCGATTATCTTTAGAGCAAACACCAACTGAACCGGAAAAAAAACGATTTGATAAAATTCTTTTAAATCTTTCAATTCCCCACACTTAAATTAGAATGAACAACACTTGCACTAGCAACTACAATGAACATTGTCTACAGCACAAGCATAATCTATTGTGGCAATTTAGCCGACAAAAATTGAGCAAACTAACGAAAAACCAACAATTATTTTTCTCCGATTTTTTTTCTTCAATTTCCTTGATACTGAATAAAACAATGTCCGGCCTCGACTCGCACCCCAGACCTTAAGGTACAAAGGCAACTGCTTTACCTCCAGAACAAGAGGGAAGCAACCTTCAAAATGTTAAAAGAAGAAAAGAAGAGAAGTGAAAAGAAGTCAGCTGCATAGTCAGCAAGTTATTTAACTGATTTTGTTACACTAGTTCTTAACTGGAAAAAAGTTTTTTACTCCAGTTTGATAACGCTTGCTAATCGCAAGCGTATAAAATTGTTTAAATCAGAAAAAAAGAATGCTTTGGAAATGAGGCCCACAAAAATAAGCAGTTAAAGGAAAGTCCGGACCACAGACCTTAGTAAGCAGAGAGGAAAATCAAGAGGAAAGGAGCCTGCAGTTTGTTAAGGTTGAATAAGAAAGCAAGTATATTTTCACCTAGATTTGTTTGAAAAATTGTTTATAGGAAAAAGTCTAGTCCCCGATAACAATACACTTGCTCTCGCAAGTGTAATTTTGTGAGGTCGGAACTTTCAGTGCTACTTGCACAGCAACCGGATATTCTAGCCTCAATATGCCATGTTTGTTCATCAATTTAACAGTTATCATTAATTTTACGTTGCGTATATGAGAACAAATTGTATGTAATGCAGCCACGTGTAGATTTTCATAAAAATTCGGACATAAGTTAAACTAAAACACAGAAGTTAAAAACACAGAAAACGGCATGTAATGGGAAACGGTAAAAGAGCCTCCAATTGTTGAAAAATTTCGCATGCGGATAATTAGGCCAAAATAAACAGATTTGATCTGTATACTCAGCTCTGTATAATCATACAACTGACGCTTCTGTGAGGTGGAAGAAGGAAAATGAGCCACAAATGTTCACGACATGAATAGAAAACATGAACAGAAACATGAACAGAAAAATTTTAAATATGAACAGAAAACCAAAGGTGGGGTACCAGTCCAGTAGTGAGGAGAAGGTAAAGTGGACCACTTACAAAAATCGGCTCTTTTCCACTTGCACCCTACTTCGAATTTCAATTAAAAAAAACAATGTTATAATTGAAGGAACATCGGCATGGTGAGTTAGGTCCTTTAGGTTAACTCATAGAGTAATTTCGGATAGGGTACACCGTCTGCTCGTCACGCTATCTTAATTTCGGCCGGCTAGATTCGTGCAACTTCTTAGTCTAATACCGATCCTTATCTTACTCTTATATCTACTAGTCTCGGTGTGTTTAACTAGTCTCTGCTAGGCTCAATAGATCTAGAGTATACTGGCTTATTGCAACTGCTGAAGTTCTCTTGGAGAGGTAACTAATTTTTAAGTTGAATTCAAATCTCTCTGGTGCTAAAATTACAAGTAATTTCAGCACTTACAAATAAGTGGGTTGTTAGTTAGATGGATTATGATTGGTTAATATTAAATATTTTACAGTGGTAAAATATCTAATTTATCCAATAATAAACTGTAGTTTAGATCAGGTTCCACCCATCCGGGGTTTATAGAGTTTTTTTGAACTATCTTTCTTCTTTGCAATTGAAGGATGGATGATGAACGTTGGT